GCATGCCGGAAAGAGATTTATGAGACCAAGTATTCTGAATGCTGTGTTCGAAGGAACATCACCCGCTATTTAGCCTTTATGGCCCAATTTAATGTTGTAAAACTAATGGCGGGAAGAGGTCTTCCTCAGAGCAATTAAAGGGAAACTAACCCACAAGGAGGACTGCTACCTTGATCGAGTTATTCTGCTACAGCTAATAACAATGAAGAATTGGTATTCATTACTAAACCTAATTGGCATTCACCACATGTGCCTCTCAATTACACGAAAAAAAGAACCACATCATTTCGAAGAGGGCGCAGTTCGGCGACGAGGGGCATTTTGCACTCCGAGCCATCTAGAGAGCTCTTTCATGAGCAAGACAAGAGTTGACGGGTTTTACCATGGTGGCTAGACGAGCTTGCTCCAGCTTCACAAGAGTTCACAGGTTTCACCAGAGCGGAACTTGTGAACCGGAACTAGTAAAGCAGTGAAGGTACAAAATCCCCCCCCCGTCGCTGAACTGCGCCGAGCTGTCTAGCTAGAGGCCCTGGACCCTTCAAAATTAGGTGGACATCCTAAGCTGCGTGAGAGAGGACTCGACGATGTCATACGCATTTCGAAGCGATTACACTCACTTAGGTGAGATTCGCGGTAGCCTTTGCATTCTCTGATAATAAGGTGGCTAGCCGTCGCAGGCTGAGGATTCTTCTGAGAGGGGTCTTATTCCTGGCTATATGGAGGGGCGGGGTCGTATTTCGCAGCGTTTGGTAGTTAGATGTAGGAGCGGGCTAGTATTTTGGAAAAGTTTTCCCAGTGGTAGGACGTGCCTAACTAACAATTTGTATTTACCTAAAACCTTTGCTACTGGTTGGGCGTGCACACTAGGACTTCTTCCACTCCTCACCGCGCCCACGCCCACTTGAAATCGGTTTTGATTTGGCGCCCTTGCAATCAATTTCTATACGAATAATGCATCAGTGTGCTGTCATAGAGAGTATACTCATGTAGTTATCAGGGCGCACCATCACCCCTTTGCTCCTCTGGTATACCCCTCCCGATCCATCCCACCTACCAACTGGTAAGTACCTGAACTTCAAGCCCAACTTTCCTCAGAGTTCTGGCAGTTGGGCGGAATAGCGCACGCGGAATTTTCTTACGGCGACTCCGCATTTTACACGGCGGATGGTGAAAAACTGTAGGCAGCGTTCAGACTTTGCGGTGACGCGCGTCAACGGGTAGCGACGCGACGTGCTACGCACTACCACTGCAATAGAGCTCCAATGTCAAACGCGCCAGATGGGTATCGATTGGCGCGGCCCGCTAGGGCTTTTGGAGAGTATATGTGAAGGAAGGTTACTGGACATCTTGAACTTTTGTGCATGGTCCTGTTACGAAACCCTGTGACGCAGACGGATAGAGGGCAGCGGCTGCCAAAGCATCGAAACGTGCAAAAAACGTATGGCGAGCCAGGAAACGGGATTTTTCAAGGGAGGGGACTCCGGGGTGGGTGAGCTACTTATAGTCGGTGAAAAGCTGGAGTGAGCGAAGTCACGGCATGGAGTGCCAGAGAGTGGCAGAGTGCACAAGAGTGCAGAGAAAAAGAGAAGATCGACGCGTCCAAAGGGATTGAGTTCAAGCCCAAAATAATAGCGTCCCGTATCACTCAATACCCGTCTATGGTTACATTAGTGTTCATGACATTTGACCGCTAATGCAATGGTAGCGCGTCGACGCGCAAAGTCTGAACACTGTCATAACTAGTCGTGCGTAGAGAAAGAAAAAGAAGATACTGGCGACGTTCTGTGCAACACTTCCAGTAAAATATGTGGCCTACCGTTCTTCTTCCGGTCAAGTTTCGTAGTCAAAGTTAGGAGTTTTGTAATCATTTAGGGGATTCTTATCGAGTAACGTGGGGAGATATGACCTCGCATTCAAAGGCACTTTTGCTGTAATTGGATGGCGAGGAAACAGGTGGATAATCGTTGCCATTGCACTTTTTTGTTTTCAAAGCATTACAACGTAAGGGGCACCGATGAAGAGGGAACGACGGTTGTGAGTCCCCGCCCACCAGCTTATCGCGGAATATGTTGTTGACAAAACGTTGCAACAATATGAAAAAGTGAGTTTTTCTCGAAGTAGTCACAATTAATGCTTATGGTTAGATGTACAGGTGGACTTTTTGTACGCACTTCTATAGGACATCAAAACAAACACTGTAATAAAGAAATCCCATGAACTGTTTTGGAAGTGCAAGAAACACAAAATTTAGCTAAGCACTTTGAGAAAAGCTACCCTTACTTATTATGAGAAAAAACACTGATGGAGAGTAAACAAAAAGGAGGGCAATTTTAAACGCCATCAAGAAGAAAACAAAAAGAAAGAGAAATAGCCAGCATTCATACTGTATAGACTAATCGATATCACTGAATATTTCAATATTCTTGCAATTCTTCAGTGGAATACAATTAATGAAAGGGAGTCTCTCAGGTAAGGAACATTGCCGGGGATTCAATAAGGACAATATGACGCGTCCCAGGCCATCAGTTTGAATTGCCCGGGCGATATCAGTAATCGATATCCTTGGTAATCAGATCCAGTAGATCGGATGGAGTTGCCGCAAATCGCTAGATCAGGACATGCCACCGCTGATATTAACTCTGTTGTGTGGGGGGGGGGGGCATTTTGCACTTTTGCTTGCTACTCCTTGCTACTGCTACTTTGCATGTTCATACCAAATAACAAGTTACACTTCGTTGATATTTGTGAAACCCTGTGAAGATGCGATATGGTATAAGTGAGTCATGAGTCACAGGGATTTGCAAGTCTTCACGAGGGGACCTAGACTAACTGCTGAGTATTACGTACTTGTTGATCTCACCAAGTCGAACTGCGCCAAAATCGCTTCATATAAGAATTTCTCCTAGCTTGTGTCCCAGTAAAAGAATGCCTAGCTCGGTCTTAGTCATAACGTATAGTTGATAGTGCTGCAGTCAAGTATGGAGCGGTTTTGAGAGGGATGAAATTGGCTCTAGCTGACTGTTCTTACTGAATTGATCACTAGTCGATCACCATTGGTAGAGCAAGGCAACCGGAGGCGGGGTCATCCCGCCCTGCTCACACTGCCCTCGATTGATGGCGATGTTACGAGCTATAAATGATGGAGGTATCTTTGACGCTTGAACAGGTGTTTTAACCTGCCTAGATCTGGACAACTGCCAGAACGTAGAGGTAAACTGAAAGTATGTGAAATTCTCCTCGAAGTGTGGGTAAGTGCCTGAACGGGATGAGTATACAGTGGAGCAGTGTTTGTTGATTCTTGCGCAGTCGAGAGTCAGCGGCCACTGGTGGCATTGTTCGCAAGCGGGCGCTCAAATTTCGGACCCAGTTCGATGTAAGGAAGGAAATGTTCAGAAAACCTGAGCAGGTCAAGTGGAAAATATCACGAGAACATAAAGACATGATCCCTGCAAGAGATAAGGCGTGTGAATGGGCGTGACTTGGAGCGCAGCCACGGAAGTCTTCCCCGCCAATAAATTTTGCGGTCCCTGGGCAACACCATTGGCAGAAAGAAGACTTGGCCGCGCTCCAATCCACGCCCTGTCGTTTGCAGGAATCGTGTGTATTAAACAAGACATTCCTGCGACGAATCGGTGGAACGACAACTGAGCATGGAGCCCGTTTTCCTCTACCCCTAGGAAATGGTTGGCGGGACGATCGGTTCGCAACGCTCGTCCGCCAACCATATTGGCGCTGACTTTTGCGTAGTGAAAATTTTGCTTTGAATACGATTCCTCATATTCTTTCATTTCTCCGTTGCATGGCCCTCCACTGCGTATAAGAACATCCAGACGGGTGAAACCGGCAAGCGTCCAAAACTACGGTCCGCCCCCCCACCCCTACAATCCTTTTCCAGTGCGGCGCACTCTCAGTTTCCTTCACCTTACCCTGCCAACTCCTTACTGGTTTCCCAAAATTCCACTCAGAAAAATGGCGTTGAGCGGAGGGGGATGGTGACCGGTATAGCGCTCGTAAAGTGGAAAAATCAACAGCTGAAGTATAAGGCTAGTTACGCATTGGCCTCTTTGGCGACCAAGTGCGACCACCGACGCTATACCCTGCCACAGTAACGCCCCCCCCCCCAACTCTCCATAGTGGCAAATAAAAAAAGTATAAAAGGACACTTTCTGCCGTTGATCAATCCCTTTTTGGGATGCGACACGCATTCTACTTCCATTCAGAATCGTAGTGGCTTATTGAATGCGATGTGGCCTATACAATGACTTGCGGGGCCAGCCGATGTACAAGTCAGTGTTCTTATCCTCCCAGACGAATCGGTACTACCCGGAGGGTAAAAGGCCTGATTGGCCTGGGTGGAAGCCGATCCGGGACTTGACCACCGTAACGCGCGCGTGGTAAGCGTGGCACTTGCGGCTTCACCTACAACGCTTCTTCGCGTCCCACAAAAGTCTACACTGCCTCAGCTTTTCTCTGCCAACTGTGCGACAAGTCAATAGCAAATAATTTATTCTGATTAATAAAACATTTCGCTGAAAATTGGCGAAAGGGAGGGATCCTGGTACCATCGGGCTTGGTGCCAATCACACACCCGAAATCGCCGTTATGGAAAGCTTTACCTATACTCGATTGAGAAATACATGTGATATGCGAGCAATTATAGTACACTGAAGACACGCTTTTTTGAGCTACACATAAAATCTGATCATTTCGTAACAAAGAGAAAAAAAAACGTTTTTGAGAAAAGTGACGTGGAACATTTTCTATGAGAATACGACGAAAAGTTGTGTACAACAGCGTATAAAACGATTCTCTAATGGAATGGTTCGATATGAATGACAAGTAAAAAGGATACTTTACCAGAAAAGAGAAATTAAAGTCGATCTGGGCATGCTGGGGGAATAGTGGCATTTCTTTAAAAAATAAAATTCAACAAGAAATCGATAAAAATCAATAATAATCGAGAAAACAAGCACTGTCGGAATCGGTGTCAAGCGGTCTCCTCACTTGTGAGACTTCGATCCTCGTTTACCAAACAGCGAGAACCGCTTCTCTGAAAAATACAGATAATGATGTCGATAAAACTGATTTCTGAGGAAAATCGGATGTGGTTCAGGACATCCGAAGCGCAGCAATGCGCGCTTGTCAGCGACTAGAACAATACTGAGGCGTCAAATCAATAATGTGACGGCAGCCCGCGTCCTTCACGATTTAATCCACGGTATTATCAAAAAATCGGACCATCAATGGATTGCTTTTCCTCGTTTCAAGTGCTAAGGGCCACTTTTACATTAGGCTTATCCGCATCGGATGAAGGGGCGTGTCAAAAGGGATGGACGTGGCGCGGTGCCAAATCCATTTTCCACCAGTTGTCGGAGTGACCAGGCAGGCGACTGCAGTCATTTCGTTCGTGTCAGCCGTCGTCCATCAACTGTTGTCGCTTAACCGGTTCAGCAACTGGTGGAAGCGAGCTGACCCGCACCACTGACACGCCCCGTCCACAGCAGCGAAAAAAGGCTATACTCATAATGCCGCCTTCCTTCAAGCTTAAAATACAAGATAGCAGTTTACAGATACACGAATTTTTGTGACAAATGTGAAATAAACGGTGAAGGACGGAGGCCATTATGACCTAATCGATTCGACGCCAAAGTATTGTTTCGAGTCAACTAGCCAGGAACGCTAGTTCGCGCGCGATGTCACCCTTCGAATGTCTTGCACTACACCTAGGAAATACTGCAAAGCGTACTTTCGCTCTTCAACGACTCGGTGTCATGGTGGGATGTTGGTGTCACTGATTGAGGAGGAGTTTGCCTTCCATACGGCTGATTATTCTCCACCCATGAGATGAACTCGACGCTTTCCGTCACTCGTCCTTCGCGGCCATGTGGCGGTGTTTCACGGGCATATGTTGACGTCGTGTGTTCTTGATATGTCAAAGTATCCTGCAATTGCAAGGATAAAGAAATCTCAGAAACGATCCAATTAAGCTGCATTGTCTCGAACCTTTGGCCGTACACAAGATTACGAGTTTAGGAGGACAGGCGGTATACAGTACCCCGAAGAACTGCACGTGAAATCAAATGTGTCTGTCCGGTGATCGCAAAGTCTCTTCGCGTCCGTTTAATCCACCAAAAGGGAGGACAGCGGTGGGACTGGGCGTGAGAGCAAAAACCTTTCCCATGTGTCGACAGGTGCTGCCTAGGCATAAACTGAGGAGGACTGTGAGCACTAGCTTGCCCTACGCACCCGATCTCAATTGTACCCCGCCTATTTCCTTTGACTTACAGTTCAATTAACCATGCACCGGCGCCTTAAATGTTAGAAAACTGACCGTATAACCATTGGAGGATGATGGAGGCAAAGAAGGCGGTGATGTGAGGGAGCTTGACACACCTCCTGAAGATGAACAGTTGCGATTCAATTAGATGGTGAGCATATGGAACACTTCACAGTAAGAAACAACAAAGACCGTGTTCACTTTAAACAAATTATGTGATATGATGCATTGCACTGTGATGTGTTAAATTGTGTTCATTTTGTTGACAAGAACGACTGCCTTTGAGAGGGTTGGATGAGGGTGGGCGGTTGCTGCCGATGTCATTTGTGGAAGGGCTGCGAGAGGGTGACACCCCACTCAACCCTTCCACCAATGACGCTGGCAGTAACCGCCCGCCCCCGGCAATCATGTCTAATGCCTTTAAGGTGCATGCAATTGTGATGTGTGAATTGTGTTCATGTTGACAAGAATGATTGCCCTTGAACAACTAGAAATGCAGTGCTTGTGCGGGCAGAATTGCTGCTTGTGGGTGGAGCTCATGAGGACACTCGCCAAAGCGGGCGAGTTCGACGCAAATCACAGCGCGCTCTGCTGAACAGTCACACTGACTCCGCCCACTGGCATGACATTCGGTATAATCACAGCCTTCAAAAGCTGCCCTTATATTCAACAAGGCTCTTGAAAAGACTTCGTATTTATCCCGAAGGAAAAGGATGTGTTCGCGAATGTGGAAGGTTTAGCCGTTGCCGACAGCTCGTGATGTGTGATAAGTGGTACGACCCCGCTTTTCCACATATTCCATTTTACCTACCATCTTCCTGAACTCTTCAAACTTTCTACCACCAACCGTTTTTCTCAAAGGTCAATCCGACCCCTCCCAACCCCTTGCTGGGTAACCCGAACGTGCCCTGTTCCTACCAACCATCTCTTTGAACTCTTCCTTTCTACCACTTTTCCCAGCTGTTTGGAAAGCTTTCCAGTCTGCTTCTCCCTCCCAAGAATGAATGTCGAGGTGAAATAGGAAAGGGAAGGTTGTCACCAGTCAACCCACACAATAAAAGCAATTATTAAAAATTTCTCGGGAACTTGGAAAAAATTCTTCGTGGCCAGATATAACCCCCATCGACCAAGAACTACCCCCTTGATAGGATTCTTTCAGCGATGGTTACCCCCGCTCAAGCTTGTGATTCTTTGAAAGTGGTAGCGGCTCC